CTAGGTTTCTTGTCCGTTTCATTGTTTTACCCAAAGACAGATGTCCTCAGTGTTGATGGAGAATTCGTTGAACCCTATTTGGGGCCTCAGTTGTACGACAGTGACATCCCCGGGTTTGAATGAATAAATTCACGGTGTGCAAAAACTGCTATCTCATGCTAGTCAAAGAAGATGGTAGAGTTTCCCGGTTGGGTTATTGTAGAGTTCACCATACACCGCGAAAAAGATATCCATTTCTCCTGGTACAATCCCTGATTTCTCACTCCACAAAGCGAGGCACATAAGTCGTTGTCCCTATCCCCTTCAGTGAGAAGTATTTTATATAATAATTCCTGTTAAACGATTGACATGTGACCTTGAAAAATACGTCTGCAGATAAATTGACCAGAGTTTAGCAATCTTATCTTCAACCCTGCTGTTAGGCAAAGTTGCTTTGATCGCCCGAAAGTTAGCTAGAGCTCTAAATTTTGGATCGGTCCATGGGTGTGCTTTGGGATACTGTTTCTGAATCACAGCTGGTAAGACAGATTGAAGTGATTTTCCTAGTGTGGTCTGTTTAATTCTTTTTTTAGTTTCATTATTCTGTCATCAACGTGGATGCAGCCACATAACAAGATGCTCTCCGGCGATGGTGATAACAGAGCGAAAAACAGAGAGGAAGGATGGAAACAAGTAGAGCGGGAGTTGAACTAAAAAATGGTTACTGCTTAGATGATGCTTGCTCCTGATTTCACAGATCCGGTACCAGAAATTTGAATACAAAAACTTGTGCTTACTCAACCGCGCCAGACATCAAACGAAACTGATAAATACCAGCAACTCGACAGTTCGACCAGAATCCAAGTCTTACTACATAAAGTAGGCCATAATTAATTTGATGAATATCATGAGAGGGGGTGAGAGATTAAACTAACCGATGTCTAAAATAACATTGTATGGAAATACCGCCTTTCAAAGAAATCCAAAACTCAAATATTCCTTCTCTTTCTCTCTGAACCAGTAGCCAAAAGCTCGCGTGGCATATGCGATCGATTTGAATATTTATAATACCGGTTTGTTGGCACAGCCTTGTCGGTGTCGATTTTCTCCTTTTGGTATAGTAAACTGAAAGTAATCTGACCATATGGATCGGGCTAATGATGGATCAGCATTGTGCTATTTGCTAAGGTGTGGCCTGTTTTCATCATGTCTCAGAAGACCGGATTCAACATCAGCCAGTTGTTAAATACTCGCGTGATCACGTAGTTATGAAGACGAACGAGGAAAGGAACGGTACAATTAAATTCGATTCCCTCTCCTCTTTGGACAGAATACTGAGGAGCGCAATCATTAAACAGAGGGACTTGGAAGTGGCATTATGAGTACAAGACTGTTGGACCACTGTTATCAGTAAATCTGGTCGGGAAAGCACGTAATGCGTCAGTGTTCAGATAGGTGGATCACTACTCATGTCGAAAATAATCAGTTATATCAATCAACACTGAAAACCCCAGGTATTCCCTATCACCACTTTCTACAAATCCGAATCGGCTAACTTGTTGCACTCACTTATTCACGTGCTATGATCAGGTGAGAGAAACTCAAATGGACTGTGTTTAACAGAACTTGATATTGGAACTTTTTCACTGTGTCACCATGATATCTATCTTTTATGTCCCCTCCCCGTCCGCTTCGGAGGATAAAACATGCGATATAACCATGAACCGATGCGTGATTGTCAATCTGCGTGAAACTGTATGCATTTCTTATCTGGTCCTTACATTTGACTGATCTGTTGTGTACGAGTAATGTGAAAAAATCTCTGAACGCGATCCGTGCGAGAATTTCCGAAATTATTTGGATATGAGTTTAAAAATAGCACAATTTCGCACAATAAATAATCGCTTATGTGCGCTCGTTGGGGAGCTTTCAGTGCAGCCAATGAGCATTATGCCGGCACACAAGGATAGATATATTCTCGGAACTGAAGTGCCGTATGTTGCGTTTCACGGTTAATAGATCCGCCAGTAGTCCAACAATGTATTGAGTTGAATCTCAAAATTTTGATGTTGTCAGTCCGCATTATGCGATCGGAATAACTAATAACCCGAAGCCCTCAGATATGAAGCTTGAACGGGAAAACCGAGCACATTCACCGCTGAATGATTCTGTGTGGCTGCAGTCGGACGGTTTCTTTCAGTTCAAAGCATTTTAAAAAGCAACTGAGGTGACCAGTCACGGAAAAGATTTTAGTTAGTCATCGGAAACACAACAGTATGCAAACATGCCTGTTTCGGTAAGGCCATCCTCGTATATGATTTATATGCTGGTGGTTATTCATACGTTCCTTTGTATGTCTGAGGGCAAGTTACTTGAACCAAGCGAATTAACAAGCAGAAAAGTGCCTGATTGGATGTTGAATGTATTAAAAAACAGTAAGTGGTGGCACCGTAGTCTACCTCCCATAAACATCAAAACTGTCACGACAATATCCAATACATACGTGAAGTGCTTTCAAACAGTTTGAATTCCCTATACCAAAACTAAATATCAGAAGAGATCTCAGCCAAATAACTTAACTCATAACTGTATCAAACCTTTGTGTTCCCCATCTCAAGTTGGCCGAGAACATCAACGCAGTCTCAGTCACGTGATGATGGCACCAGAAGGCGCAAAACA